CACTTTTTGGATATCTTTTCAAAGAAGTGAGATATATAGGCTCAAAGTGGACGATCCGGGTGTCGTTCTATTAGAGGTTTTACGGTATCTCGATTCAAGGGGGTTTTAAGCTAACCTGGGCCAATTTAGACCGTTTTAAATCTTATTTAGCCTATATATGGCCAATTCCAGGTTTAAGGCTTTTCAGGCTGAAATTATAAGCCTAAAAATGACCCCCAAAAAACTATGAATTTTCCAGGCTACCATAACAATCATCACCGGGGAAACGGCGGAGGCGGAAGCGGAGGCTACCAACCTCAACACAACCAATACAACAACGATCACGGCTACACCCCATACAACAATCGACCATCGACAAGCGGTGGACAATACTCGCCACGTGGCGGTCCCTCATCCTCAATGAACATCACACATACCACATTCGCCCCGAATGCTCAACGAGAAGAGCCTACGATCATATTGCCGCCTGTCAAAATCACGATACCAGTTGCAACGACGTCTCCGGTGGTCACGACTTCTGCTCTGTCAGCTCAAGACTCACCTGCATCCAGTATCCGATCCTCTGGTCCAGTGTCAACGAACCAATTCTCGTTCCCACCACCATCAGTTCCACAGTCGCCAGCCCCACCGACGCCACAACCGATTCAAGCGCTTCAGAATCAGCAGCAACAGATTCAGAAGCAGGTTCAGGCTCAGGCTCCAATTCAGATGCCAAAGAGAGTAGAAGTGTCCCAACCGCTCACGTTGAACACCTCCCTTCCTTCTAAAATGAGTGGTCCACCATCTGCAACATCATCTGTGAACTCTCCAAGATTGACTACGCCCATCAGATCCTTGGCTCCAGTCACCCCAGTGACGCCAAGTGTCATTCCACAGGTTCCGATGGTTCTGAATCAGCCACCACCGCCAGTGATGCCACAGATGATGATGTCGGTTCCGCCGCCAACGCTGATGGCTCAGATGAGACAGCCACCACCGACGATGTTGTCACAAGGCGTTTTTCCTATTGATGTGGTGAGTTTTTTAGAAAGAAAATTAGGCTCCGCCCACTTAAAGGGTCGTGAATAGTGAATTTTAGACTTTTTGAGAGATTTTGGAGATCAAGAAAATCGCATTTTTGGCCCAACAATATAGGCTCCGCCCACTTTTTGGGGTACTGTAAAATTGGGGTTTAGGTTCCGCCCACTTTCCATTTCTTTCAATCTTCTCGAGTTTTGAAAATTATAGGAAAAAGGATTAGGCTCCGCCCACTTTCGAGACCCTGGAAGACGGATTTTAGGCGCCGCCCACTTTATAAATCCTGACATTGTCGCTTTAGGCTCCGCCCACTGGGGGTTTTGAAAAATCGGATTTTCGGATATTACAAGAAGAATTAGTCTCCGCCCAATTAAGGGATCCTGAAAGTTCAGATTTTAGGCTCCGCCCACTTTCAATTTTCTTAAAATTCATTAATTATGAAAAAATAATAGCTCTCTTTAGGGATACTGGTTATTGGATTTTAGGCTCCGCCCATTTTTTGAGGCTCTGATTAATAAGATTTTAGGCTCCGCCCACTTTCGATCCCTCTACATTTTTAGCTATGGAAATTATGAAAACATTAGGCTCCGCCCACTTTAAGTGTCCTAAACATTGCATTTTATACGCGAAAAAATTAGGCTCTGCCCACTTCGCATATCTTTGACATTCTTTAGATCTTGAAATTGATAGGCTCCGCCTACTTTATGGATTTTGAAGAGTGAATTTCAGGCTCCGCCCACCTTCTATTCTTTCAACATTCTTTAGATCTAGAAATTGCGGCAAAAATTAGGCTCCGCCCATTACAGAGATCTTGAAAATGGGATTTTAGGCTCCGCCCACTTTCCCACATCTCTCTATATAAATTCAAATTTCCAGACTGTTCCACCGCCAAACTTCTCCGCTCCACCACCACAACTGCCACCACCTCCTGTCGCAGGCATTCCACCACATTTGATGATGTATCAACAGGCTCCGCCCCTCGTGACTCCGCCCACACCCGCCCAATTCTCATATCCACCACCACAATTTAATCCACATTGAACTTTTTTTTGAATTTTTTTCGATTTTTTTAAATTTTCACCCATTTTCGTTGTTTTCTCTTACCCTGATTCTTCATCTTTGTAACATTTTCCTTCATTTTTTTTTCAATTTTTCCGAAACTTCAAAATCTCCAGTTTTTTTTATTCAAAAATCATCCGCCCCTTTCTTCAAAAAAGTGACTTTAATAACAAGAAACTGTTCTCTTTCTCTTTTTTTTAATTTTTCGCCATTTTTTAACCACCTAGTTTCTCTCCTCTTTTTTTAAGCCCCGCCCCCTCCTCTCTGAAAATCAAAAACTTCCTTCTAAAAAATTTCAGCCCCACGCCGGTACCCCGCCCCCTAATTTCTGTTGTAATCAAATCTTTCTTTTTTTTCATTCATAATCTGAAAATTTGGGGAATAAAAAGTTAGAAAACACCCAAAAAAATTGGAAATTAGGGGATTTTTAGGATTACTGTAGGTTTTTATTGAATTTTTCTAGATATAAGGACTCGCGACCTAGATAATTTTTAAAATTTTTATTGCAATTTTATTTTTCAGAGAATTTTTGAAATTTTAAGATTTTTGACAGGGAAATTAGGCTCCGCCCCTTTTGAAGGGGAGCCCATCAAAGGGGCGGAGCTTAATTTTGGGGAATAATGACGATGGAAAGGAAGCGGGGAAGGAGAACGAAGGAATGGGAAAGGGAAAGGAAGAATAGGCTCCGCCCACTTTATTGATTTCAGCACAAGGAATCCGAATAGGCTCCGCCCACTTTAGAGAAGACAATGGAAACGGAAAAGAAAATAGGAATGAGAACGAAGGAAATGAAAAATTAGGCTCCGCCCACTTAAAGGGTTTCAGCACAAACTGGGAATTTGAATAGGCTCCGCCCACTTTTGATGGAGATAAGGACGAAGAAGATTACTGTAGATTTTTGTAGAAAAAAGCCCAGGAAATCTGAATAGGCTCCGCCCATTTTCCTCAAAGAATTTTAGAGACGAAAACGGAAAAGATTACTGTAGTTTCGAAGAATTCAGTAAAGTTTGAATTTCTCTAAAATCGTAATTTTAAAAATTCTTGATTTTTTTAGGAAAAGATTACTGTAGATTCAAATATATTTAGGCTCCGCCCATTTCGGATAAAATTTCGAATTCCCTGAATTTTCGTTTTTTGGAAGAGATTACTGTAGATTCATTTAGGCTCCCCCCCATTTTTATAAAGTTCTGAAATTCTGAAATTTTCGAAAATTCTGAATTTCCTAATTTTTTTGAAAAAAACTGGTTCTTGATTTTCAGAATATTCCGAAGTTCTTGATTTTCAGAATATTCTGGAAATTTCTGGAAATTAAATTTTTGAAAAATTCAAATTTATTATTTTTAAAAAAAAATTGAAATTTGTAAAAAAAAAAGAAAAAGTTCAAATTCTCGACATTGATGCTGTATTGATAGATGAGGTGTTGCTGATTTTCTGAAAAAAAAATATTTTTCTTGAAAAAAATTAAGCTCCGCCCCTTTTGTAACTATGTGGCGCGTTAATTTATAAAAATGACTGAAAGTTGGAAGGCAACGATTCGGGAATTTTTTGAAATTTTGAAAAAAAAATTTTTTTTTAACTTGCAAAAAATTAAAATTTGTGAAATTTTGAAAAACCAAAAAAATCGCGCCGCAGAATTGCAAAAGCCACCTGCGGGAGGGGCCGGAGCTTCCACACAAAAGAGGCGGATCTTACCTTGCTCTTGATTCCGAAAACCAATTTTTTGAATTCCCGCTTGATCGTTTCATTCATTGTGACATAAATCAACGCGGGACACCCGTGATTGATGGACCAACACAGTTGTCCCGATAGAAGAATCCAGAAGGATGGGGTGATGAATGATAACGCGTTGTAGATAAGAGCAGAGACAGTGTTAAAGAAACAGATTATGATGCATTGGAAGAAAATCTGGAAAAAAATTCTGCAAAAATGATGGCCTAACTTTTGCACGTTGAGTTTTCTAGGCCACCATGGTAAATGACCTAGAAATCAGCCGGAATGTTTTCTAGGTCATTTTAACATGTCGGCCTAACGGGTTTTCTAGGCCATCATGGTAGATGGCCTATAAATTGACTTTTGATGTTTTCAGGCCAAAATTCAAAAAAAAGTTCAAAATTTTTGAATTTTCAAACTTACCGCCATTGATGCCTTCGATTTCTGACCCCGTGCGATTTTCTTGATCATCGCACAATAGATTGAAAATAAAAGGAACATACAGGTGACGAAAATCCAGTTGTTCCAGGCTTGAGGCTTGTTTTTGTACTGGAAGATTTTGAAATTTTTGTCGGTGGCCTAGAAAACTCAAAATGCGAAAGTTAGGCCACCATGAAAAAACGGCCTAGAAATCGCCCCAAGTGTTTTCTAGGCCATTTCACCGTGGTGGCCTAGAAAACTCAACTTGCAAAAATTAGGCCACCATGTTTAAGTGACCTAGAAACCCCATTAGATGGTCATTTCTAGGACATTTACCTTGGTGGCCCAGAAAAATCAACTTCCGAAAGTTTGGCCACCATGTTGAAATGGCCTCGAAATGACTTAACATGCCCCTGGGGTGTTTTCTAGCCTATTTAACATGGTGGCCTAGAAAACTCAAAATGCAAAAGTTAGGCCACCATTATAAACAAATAAAACCAACCATTTGTGTAGCCGCCTCGCTTGGTACCATTTCAGACAATGGGTCCGGAATCCATGAAATCCAAACAGAATTATAACAAATCGATGGGGTAAAAAAGAACATATACAATCCATAGAAAATTGAAAAGCAAATTGAAAAATAGGCCAATTTCTTCTCAATTACATCCGCATATTCATGAAAAGCAATGCTCATAATACGATTGGCGAATAGGGATACTGTAGTGGCACATGCCATGCACCACATGGCTGCAAATTTTTATTTTGGGGATTGTTCAAATTTTTTTTCAAATTCTCAAGCTTACCCAATCCAAAACTTCCAGCCATATAGGTAAAAGTTGGGTACATACAAAAAACGGATCCAAGAATGAGCAATGGTCCAGTAATCAGACAACTACAACAAGTTGCACACATATCGATGAATGCCAAGACCACAATGATTTTATAACAGGCATGTTTGATTAATCTTGTTTTAAAGATGATGAAAATAATTGGAAAGTACAGTAACTCGATTAATGTGCCGAAGATGAGCAATGGGAAGCCGAGCCATTGTCGTTTGATTCCAGTTTGCTCCCATTGTTCAAACGATTTCCATGAGCAATTGTAGTAAGGAATAGCTTCGACGCTACCGTATTGGATGTAACGGTTCATGTTGGGCAAGGGATTGGCAAGTTATGGACAAAGGGTGTGCAAGCTTCGGGTGGTTTAGGCAGTGAGAGATGGGTTGGATGTTGGTCTAGGATGTTAGGCAGAAATTGGGTAAGGGAAGGGCAAGGGAAGTGCAACACTTGGGGAAGGGGTGGGCGAGCTTTGGAAGGATCAGATAATGGAAGATTAGTTGGATGTTGGTCTAGGATGTTAGGCAGGAGTTGAGCAACACTTGGGCAAACTTCGAAAGTTGGTCAGATAATTGAATACGGTTTGGGCAAGGGCAACCTTTTCAGACAGATGTTGGCCAAGGACTTCCGGCAGAACTGAAATTTGGGAAAGGGTTGACCAAGGTTTGGACAAAAGATGAACAAGCTTTGGGCAAGCTTCGAAAGGACCAGAATATGGGTTGAGTGAGGGATGTTAGACAAATAATGGCTGAGGATGTTAGGCAAAACTTGGGCAGAGGTTGGCCAAGGTTTGGGTAAGGTTTGGGCAAGTGATGGGCAAGCAATGAGTTTAAGTGATGGGCAAGCAAATGTTGGACAAGTTCAGAGAAGCACTTGGGCAAGCTTCGGAAGGATCAGATAATGGAATATGAGTTGGATATTAGCCTCGGACGTTAGGCAAAACTTGGGCAAGGGATGGGCAAGTGGTGGACAAGACCTGGCCGAGCTATAATTCTGACCCAAATTTTCTCCTTTTTATAGTCTCCAGCTTACCTACGTCAAAGTAATATGTCTTTGTCATTTCTTTTGTATCCTTTGTTTCTATTTTTTATCCCTAAAAATATGCCTTTTGAAGAATTTAGGGATTAGGTTTATTTTCGCATAAAACCCAATTTTTGGAAAAATAGGATTCTTGAGAAAAAAAAGATTAATGGGAATTGATGATGAATAACTTGCCTTAAGCTGATGAAGATCCTTCAAATATATAGCAAAAAGAAACAAACAAGTGAAAACGCAGGAGGGATCGAACCAACAACATTGTGCACACTAGCAGCGCACACATCCACTACACCACGGCGCGCACTGGTTGTAAGAAAGGGCGGAAGGCGACTAAGTGTGTGCCGCTGCCTCGGCTTCCTTCGATGAGGATTCCGGTGATGTGTGCTAAAAATTGGAAAATCAAAAATTAGGATTTTTTTTCTGAAAAACAAAAAAAACCTATGAATATATTAAGTTTTATCACCATATTCTTCCTCCGCCCACTCAAACATTCTTTTCCCATTTTTTTTTCTCATTTTTTTCACCTATAAAAACAGTATAAAAATCCGTCAAATTTTTGAAAAAACTTCAAATTTGGTTGGATGGAACAACGTGGATAATCTTTCGCTTTAAAAGTTATTTCCTCTTTCGATTTTTCTAACAAAATGTCTGACACTTCAAAGAGTACTGGTAAGGGTTTTTTGGAATTTTCTGACGATAATTTTTTTGAAAGTTAACGATAATCTGAAAAAAACTGAAACTGGAAAAAATCAATATTTTTTTCCAGAATCTCGAAGCAAAAAGCGATTGTCATGGAATCCGCTCCAACGGATGTTATCAATTGTGACCGGCCGAAATTCGACGGGAACTCAAGGCACAAATTCTTCAGATGGTGATGGGAAAGTGATGATAAGGTTTGTTTGAAACTACGACACTCCGCTATCCCCCACTGCGCCCTCTTTAACGGATAAATTCAAAAATTTAAAAATTCCAGATGGACAGCTTCCTGCATCAACACCTCTTGCCCTATATTCTCCAGAAGCCCAAAATTCAATATGGTAAGTTTTCAGAGTTCTAGAATTCCGGAAAAAATATCAATAAACTTCCAGATCTACAGTCCAGCTCCCTCGCTTCTGATGTACGTCGTCGTCATGTTGGCTTCAGAACACGCGACGACCAAAACGCTACAACGCCTTTTTGAGTTGTCAGATGCGGATATTGAGGGTAATTAGCTCTGGAGGGGATTAAAAAATCATTTATAACCTTTACAAAAGAAGCAAAAAGAAATTGACACCTGTGGGAATCGAACCCCCGACCTCTCGGGCAAAATCGTAGCGAGCTAGCCACTACGCCATGGGCGACAACCCTGTGGGCGGTGGAGAGGGCGTATAGGAATGACGGCTTTTCCTCGCGCTTCCTTGCCGCTCCCTCGCTGCATCTGTCGTATAAGGTTTCCTGTGGTGTATCTTCAGAAGACGTCGAATTCAGAACTTCTCAAAAAGAAAAACAGGAAAACTTTTATATATTCTGGTAGCTCTATTCGAGAGCTACATGTTGATATTAAGACTGTTGAAAAATATAAATTTTGAAAAGCGTTATAAGGTTTAGAAAAATGGTTGTCAACATTTTGGATGCTTTTTTGAATTTCTGTAACTTTTATCAAAATTTAAATTTTTCGAATTTTCAAATTATGATATTTTTATATATTCTTGTAGCTCTATTCAAGAGCTACATTTTGAAATTAAGATCGATAAAAAATGTAATTTTTTGATTTTTTGATTTTCCAATTTTTTGAAATTTTATAACTTTTGCCAAAATTTGAATTTTTCAAAGATTCAAATTGTATTTTGTGAAGCTTGAATTGTTCTATCGATTGGTAGCACTTTCAAATCTCCTGTGTTTACAGAAGTCCGCGAAATGAGCTCGAAACTAACCAACCTGCGCGCGCCCAACCAATTCTACTGTTTCGTGCGTTTTCTGGTCGACGAGGAGCGCACAACTACCGTATCCAAAGAGCTGATGATTCGAAGTAATGAAGTTTCGACGCAACAAGTATTCGCTTCGATCCGCCCGTCTCGAGTGGTCAAATATTTGAATACGATGACTTTCCAGCCTGTCTCCTTTAATCGTCCCGCCCTTTTAACCACTAATGGATATGGATCGGCTGGATTGAATGCCAAATGGTTGGGAACGGTAATTATGACCAATTAGTAGCAATTAAGAAATTTCAGTAAATTTTGTATTTCTTTTAAGTTTCGAAGGTTGAAATTCAAGAAAAAAATTTTGAAAAATTTAGAATTCCCAGATTTTTAAAATTTTCAGACCCGAAAAGCCGGCCTACATCGATTCGCGTGCACCTACCATAAGAAGAAGTTTGAGGTGTTTTTTGAGATCCGAACTGCTTGGAGGAAAGTTAATATGGATCAGTTTGAGGTATACTTTTTGGGAAATTTTGAAAATTTCGATTTTTCAGAATTTTTTTGATTTTCAGGAATATCGGATTTTTGGTATTACATTTGAATTTTTCGTATTTGGTTCCCGAAAATTCAAAAATTCGAAAAAATTCTAAAATTTTTAAAATTTCGAATTTTAAAAAAATACTGGAAATTTTCAACTTTCGGAAGATTTTTGACTTTTTTTGGAATTTTTAGTGTTTCTGAATTTTTAGCAAAATTTGAATTTTTGAGCTTGGTTCCTGGAAATTTAGAAAATTTTCAAATTTCGGCGATTTTTGAATTAAAAGTTTCGGAAAATTCCAGGTAATCGAAATCCCATTCAAGTTCGGTCGCAACTCTGACTCATTCGGCTCTCTCATCTTTCTCCGGCCCCATTTTATCGGTCATCTGGCCTACGCGAACCGTCAGTTAACCGCTGAGCAACTCTCAAAAGCACTAGGCGAGCTTTTCTCTGCCACGTGGATTCCTACTGGCAAACTTCTGATCCCTCAATTCACGACAAGTTGTTGTCACGACCTGTGGAAGAATCTGATGCGTCACGGAGTGCAGCCAGATTTGGGACAGAGTCAAAAGGCCCCACCAATGGCGTCTCTTTGGCATTGGGCCAGTTTAAAAGTGTCATCGGATGGAATACGAGGAGATGTCGCTGTGAAAGAGAAGAATAAGAGAACAGAGTCGCAGAAGGCTCTTCAGAAGACGTTTCACGATTGTTTGCCTTCTGAAGGCCTTCTAGAGAAACACAAGACGTACGCGGCGCGTGTCGACTCTCCGTTCACCTATATTGTGATGGTCCATGGGATTCCGATCTTTACCGGGTCTTATTTTGGAAGTCCGCCTCCAAAATCTATGGACATTTTTGTGAATGCCCCGGAGAGGTATTGTTTTTCAGAGTCTAAAAAATTTAGTTTTCAAGTTTTCAATTTTTTTCAGAATTCGTCATCGCCACACCGCAATCAATCGGAAACGCAAGGCCAAGGACACTCGAAAACAAAAACTGCTCCGAAAACTTCGAAAATCTGAAGAACGAGAAAAGAAGAAGGATCGAAAGAGGGCGGAAAAGGAGCAGAAGAAGAACTCGAAACGAAGCGCGTCACCGCCGGCGACGCCTTCAGCCACGACGACAACGACGACTTCGGATTCTTCGAAATCTTCTCCATCGTCAAAATCGTCTCCTTTATCGCCGAAAGTTTCGATAATCGATAAAAAGGAGGAGAAACAAAAAGAAAAGAGCAAATCGAGCGGATGGCGACGGCTGGCGAACCGGATATTCAGAAGAAGAAATTGAAAATCGATTATTGAATTTGTTTTCTGTGAATAAATTGGTTGGGGTGATATTTTTCTTGTTGTTTTTTGTAGGAAAAGCGTCTGAAAATAGCTGAAAAAAATTTGCAATCAATAGAAATGTGAAAAATTGGTTAAATTTGGGTCAAATTCCCTCAAAAACGTATTTGTTCCGCTTGTTATTTAGGAGATTTTTGTTGAAGATTGTCCGAAAATTGATGAAAATCTGAAAAAAAAACTGCAAAGCCTTGTTCAAATTCCCCCACAAAAGCTATTCACAGGTCCTGGGCGATGATGCGCATAAAGGACTCGATCCATATGCGATCCTCTAGAAGTCCGTTTGACACATATCGCGAACAACGAGCTGCGATGAGTCTCATATGTGTGCGATGCGGAAGAGGCTGAATCGAGTGTTCCGAATGCGCGCGTATCCTAGATGGATTCTGGGTGGGTGGGCGATGTGTGCGATATGGGTCTGATACGGTAGGCCGACTACAACACTCCGAAATCCCGGATGCGCCCATTGTTTACCGTAAATCCACACCGGCAACTTTGTCAATTTTTCGTCAATTCGAGCCTACATTTCTGGTTTTTCGATTATTCCTTCGATGTTTTTTGTGAAAAAGAGTTATGACAGAATAAAAAATCGCTGAATTCTTGCAGAAACATGTCTTTCACTCGTTAATTGCTATGTTTTTCGCCAAAATAGGTGATATTGAGATTTTTTAATTTCACTTTGTAATTATTGTAAAAATCGTATTTTCAGGTGGAGTAAAAGGTAAGTTGGTAAGTATACAATAATTACAAAGTTTAAATTATAAAAATTTCCAATTTTTCATGCAATTTCAAAAAAAGTGAAAGTGAGACATTTTTTGAACAAATGAAAAAAAAACAATTTTTAGCGAATTTTTTCCCATTTTCTTGTGTTTTTGATTGCATATCAAATTTAAATGGAAACTGACATAAGTCTTTTTCAAAACCAAAACATTGAGTTTCGAGAAATCAGTAATATGTCGTTCAAAATATAAAAGAATATGGAATAATAAAGGAAAAGTACGAAATCGGAAGACCTGAACAAAATCACATCACAATAGAACTTAACTGATACTTCTAGGAACCCTCAACCAACGTTTTAGTTCATTTCATCGAGTGCCAGCAAGCCAGGCGAGGAGATGCTTTGCGGCGGCGGTGTGCCCCATATGCCCCGTATATGCCCCATACCGGCGTCCTTTCCCTGTACCCAATTCATCGGCGCATCCTCCGTCGCCCATCCATTATGCGTATGCGCGCCCAGGACCTGTGTTTTTCGGTCGAAATAAATCGAAAAAATCACGAAAGTGCGCGAATTGAAGCTTTCGTTGCGACACCCACTGGTGCTAAAAAGTATATGCGCCTTTGAACTGAAGGCGCGAGTTTTCGATTTTCAATTTTTTTTCGTAGTTTTTTTTCGGGATTTTCGTTGAAAATTGATAGAAAATTGTCTGAAAATTGCAGAAAAATTGAAACAATCGATAAAAATGTGAAAAATCGGTTAAATTTCTGTCAAATTCCCTCAAAAAACGTATTTTTCATATTTTTGTCATCTTTTCTCTTGTTTCGCACGTTATTTAGGAGATTTTTGTTGAAGATTGTCTGAAAACTGATGAAAATGTGAAAAAGCTGCAAAATCTTGGTCAAATTCCACCA